AAAGAACAAAAACCCTGGGGGGAAGTGAGTTATCTGTGCCTCCCTTATCGATGTATATCCAAGTAATATTTATTAAAAGCAGGTGCAAGGCCACGTGTGGTTTGACTCACACCTGTAATTCCAGCACTTTGGGAGGCTGAAGGCGGGCGAAATCACCTGCTAGGTCACGAGGTTCCCAGACCAGCCTGGTCAACATGGTAAACCCCATCTCTACTTAAAATATAAAAAATTAGCTGGGTTGTGTGGTGGCACGTGCCTGTATCCCGGCTATTGGGAGGGCTGAGGGCAGGGAGGAAACGCTGAACCTGGGAGGCCAGATGGTGGGCACTGAGCTGAGATTATTTTTTTTTCTCTCTTCTTTATTGTGTTTTAAGATGTTTTTACTATCTATGGACTTACAGAATCCAGGATGCTTTATTGAGTCAAAGATTATAACAGGTTTGCATTTGCAACCGAAAGAAAAGCAGCAACTGCCCAAGTACAGTCATGTGCCACATAATGTTTCAGTCAACAATGAACCACATATTCAGAGGTGGTTCCATAAGATTATTGTATCTTTTCTATGTTTACATACATATGTACTTACCACTGTGTTACAACTGCCTACAGTATTCAGCAGAATAACATGCTATATAGGTTTGTGGCCTGGGAGCAATATGTTATACCGTATAGCCTAGGTATGCTGTAGGCTAAACCATCAAGGTTTATCCAAGTGCTTTCTACATTTACACAATGATGAAATCGTTTAATGATAACATTTCACAGAATGTATCACCATGAGATGATATATGACTATTCTACTGAATACCAGAAGGTAACTGAATTCTAACAGGAGTTTTAAATTATTTCTATACTTTACAAATTTTACTTATTTTATTTTTTTGAGACAGAGTCTCTCTCTGACACGCAGTCTGTCATCTCGGCTCACTGCAACCTCCGCTTTCCGGGTTCAAGCGATTCTCCTGCCTCAGCCTCCCGAGTAGCTGAGATTACAGACACCCGCCACCATGCCTGACTAATTTTTGTATTTTTAGTAGAGATGTGGTTTCACCATGTTGGCCAGACTGGTCTCGACTCCTGACCTGAGGTGATTCCCCCGCCTCGGCCTCCCAAAGTGCTGGGATTACAGGCGTGAGCCACCACGCCCGGCCTATACTTCCCAAATTTTAAGAAGTTACAAAGAGTTGATCAGCAGAACCAAAACACGTTTATAGATCAAATCCCATTATATGTTCCCAGGATGAGTGGTTCCATTCATAGCAGAATGGAATTTTGTTCTATGAGCTGTAACTTAAAATAATGGGTCAAATACTGACTTAGCAATCTTGAGGTTTTTGATGTAGTTGTACTGTGATATTTGTTGTAATGGAGAATTACTGGTATTTCTAGTTTTTAGACATTGGTTGGCATATCTTATCTTTTTTTACTAAACTGGAAAATCCCTAAAGGTCTAGCTTTCAGATAAATCCCAAGCTTTCTACTTGGGTAGTAATGCTGTTAGGACACATGACTAATTAAGAGGGTCTATTCTCTTTGCTTAGTTCCACTTACAGCACAAAATGCATCCTGATCTCTAGCCATCCATCTAATGATTATATGCTGCTACTCGCAATGGATAACAATAGAATAAAGTGCAGATGCAAATCCACCAGAAAATGAGGAAAAAATTAAAGCCTCTACTTTCTGGATGCTGTAACACAAGTGCCAACCTCAGGCAGAAACGTCAGCACATACGTTTCAGACTCCTTACTGCAGGTGCTTCAGGGTTTGCTCCACTAATGCCTAGGTGACTTAACAAATTTTCAGTCACATTTAGCAAATATTAATGGCACATAAAAAGAACGAAAGGGACAGACTCGATATTACAATATGGGGTAGTTTGTGTGTCTGGCCACATAAATTCCTACATACCTCTCCAGCACCACTCACCTGGAGAAGTGGATATGGATGCCAGCTACTGTTTTTTCTCCCTTCCCAAACAGATACAGCTTGGCCTACAGCTGCACTGCCCCATACCAAGGAGACTTCACCTGACACCTAACTCCTGACAGGGCTCTGCATCCTTACATCAGTAACAGAAGCTGGTTGGGGATGAAAAATTGTTAACTGCAACTTCTGAAAACCTTTCAGAAATAAACTATTCCTCTATTCCAAATCTCAAGGTCTTTCAACTAGCCTACCGTAGAGCTTGAGGAGTGTTAAAGTTAGGTCGAGGCTCAGCCACACGCTCCTCCTCTTCTGGGCCGTCATCTTCCATGTTGGAGAATCCCATCTCATCTTGGAACTGTGGGCAAAGGGAAGGGAGGGTTTTCCTGGGGAATGGGTCTCGAATGTTGCTCCAGTATTGGGAAGGAAGAGTGAAAACTACAGATTACAAGACTTTAATAATGCTGGCACCCAGAAAGAGCCAATGTCAGAACCTTCTCACTTCAGGACTCCCACAAACCCACACTTAGGATGGCTATTATGCCAAGAAAGAAGTCGTTCAACCAGTCAACTCGTAACAGTAAGGACAGAGCATGGATAACTCAAAATTATCAATCTCTCTCTTTTTTTTTTTTTGAGACGGAGTCTTACAGTCTTGCCCTATCGCCCAGGCTGGAGTGCAGTGGCACGATCTGGGCTTACTGCAACCTCCACCTCCCAGATTCAAGTGATTTTCCTGCCTCAGCCTCTGCAGTAACTGTGACTACAGGTGCCTGCCACCATGCCTAATATTTGTACTTTTAGTAGAGACAAGGCTTCATCATGTTGGCCAGGCTGGTCTCAAACTCCTGACCTCAGATGATCCACCCGCTGTGGCCTCCCAAAGTGCTGGGATTACAGGCGTGAGCCACCACACCCAGCCTCAAAATGATCAATCTCTTAAAGAGAAATACCTTTTGAGACAAATTTATGAAAAAGGTAATTATTTGTGCACAAAGTAGTTTAAAACTAGTTGACAATCTTTAAGGACACACCAAATGACAGTAGGGGAAGTCATCAAAAATTTTCAAGGGGCCAGGCATGCTGGCTCATACCTATAATTCCAGCATTTTGGGAGGCCCAATGCAGGAAAATTGCTTGAGCCCAGAAGTTCCATAACAGCCTGGGCAATGTGGTAAGACCCTGTCTCTACAAATAAAATAATTAGCTGGGTGTGTTGGTATGTCCCAGCTACTCACGAGGCTTAGACAGAGGACTGCTTAAGCCTAGAAGGTCAAGGCTGCTGTGAGCTGTAATTTCACCACTGCACTTTAGCTTGGGTGACGGAGTGAAACCCCCCTCAAAAAAAAAAAGTTTCAAGGAAAATGTTAATAAAAACAACATACATGTATATAATCAAGAGTCTAGCAGTTAGAAAAACTCCCTTGTCATTATGTTCTTTCCCAGGTAGACTAAAAGTAGAATTGGTTCAGTCAGACCCCTCTCCTAGAAGGAGCATCACAGAGACCAAATGACACATCTTGCTGGAGAACTGACTTACAATCCCATGTTCTCACTTGAGGATCATTACTCACAGTTTCAAACAGCTCTTCCATCAGCTCATTTACTTCCTTTTCTGCAAGAAAGCCAAACAGTATGTTGTTGGTATAAATTAGATTTTACAATAAGGAAGAATTCCATGAAGACAATGTATAATGTTTTCAACAAGGAATGACGAATTCTTCATATCTATCCTTCTTTTTTTTGAGATGGGTCTCGCTATGTCACTCAGGCTGGAGCTCAGTGGCGCGATCTCGGCTCACTGCAACCTCTGCATCCCCTCCCTGGTCCAATCGATCCTCCCACCTCAGCTCCCCAAGTAGCTGGGACCACAGACGCATGCCGCCACACCCGGCTAAGTTTCGTATATTTTGTAGAGATGAGGTTTCGCCAGGCTGGTCTCGAACTCCTGAGCTCAAGCGATCAGCCCAACTCGGCCTCCCAAAATGGTGGGATTACAGGCGTGAGCCACTATGACTGGCTATCCTTCCTTCATTTATTCAAAAACATTTATCGAGGCCGGGTGCGGTGGCTCACGCCTGTAATCCCAGCACTTTGGGAGGCTCTCTACTAAAAATACAAAAAATTAGCCGGCCATGGTGGTGGGTGCCTGTAGTCCCAACTACTTGGGAAGCTGAGGCAGGAGAACGGCTTGAACCCAGGAGGTGGAGCTTGCAGTGAGCTGAGATTGCACCACTGCACTCCAGCTTGGGCGATAGAGCAAGACCCTGTCTAAAAAAAAAAAAAACAAAAACAACAAAAAACATTTATGGAGCACTATGCTTTTTAGATGCTTGGGATATATGAGAGAATGAGAGAGGAGACAGAGATCTATTCGCATGAAGCTTAAATTCTAAAAGGAAGAAGACAGGAAAAGATGTGAGCTAGACGATTTTATAATTAGATGGCCTATCCAAATCCACACAGTACTGAATGGAATCAAGAGACGAGTCTCCTAGCCTGGGTAAAATGTTGAAACCATATCTCTACAAAAAAATTTAGCTGGGCTTGGTGGTGCACACCTGCAGTCCCAGCTACTCAAGAGGCTGAGGTGAGAGAATCTCGAGTCCAGGAGGCAGAGGCTGCAGTGTGGCTGAGATCATGCCCCTGCATTCCAGCCTAGGCGACAGAGCAAGATACTGTCTAAAAAAAAAGAGACAGAGAGAAAGACAAGTTTCCAACAGGGTTTTATAGGACGCTGTCTTTGGATCTGAACTATTCAAGAACTCCATCAGTGACTTAAAAGACCCAGAGAACATACTTAACAAATCTGTAGATGATGTAAAGCTGAAAGGGACTGCCAATCCAACTGATGGAAAATTCAAAATTATATTTTCTCAAATCAACTGGATGGAACATATAGGGATAAATTTAAAGTTCCATGTTTAAGAATGTTTTTGTTTTTGTTTTTGTTTTAAATAGAGACAGCATCTTGCTATGTTGCCCAGGCTGGTCTCAAACTCCTTAGTTCCAGTGATCCTCCCACCTTGGCCTCCCTAAGTGTTGGGATTACAGGTGTGAGCCATGGTGCCCAGTCCTACAGTTAAGAGTTTTAAAGATCAGTTTATTAACTACATGAAAAGGTGACGTGGCTTAAAAATAATGTGAAAAAGACCTGAAAGTTTTGGTTGGTACAAGAATCTGAGGTAAAAAAAAAAAAAAAAAAAGTTTTTGTTGACATCAAGTTCAAGAAGACACAGCTGCTCCAAAATAGGGCTCATAACCAACAAGGCAAACATATCACTGAACTAGAGCAGAGTCTAACACTATGTCTGCAAGACTGTGAACAATTTTATAAAGGCCCTTCTTAGGAGGACATTAAAAAAATTAAGATCCAGGCCAGGGGTGGTGGCTCACGCCTCTAATTCCAGCACTTCAGGAGGCCGAGGCAGGCAGATCGATCACCTGAGGTTAGGAGTTCGATACCAGTCTGACCAACATGGTGAAACCCCGACTCTACTAAAAATACAACAATTAGCCAGGCATGGTGACACACACCTGGAATCCCAGCTACTCGGGCAGGAGACTCACTTGAACCCAGGAGGTGGAGGCTGCACTGAGCCAATAAGCACTAATGCACTCCAGCCTGGGCAACAGGGCGAGACTCCATCTCGAAAATAAATAAATAAATAGATAAATTAGTCGGGCATGGTTGCACATTCCTGTAATCCCAGATACTTGGGAGGCTGAGGCACAAGAATCACTTAAACCCGGGAGGCAGAGGCTACGCTGACTGGAGATCATACCACTGCACTCTAGCTTGGGAGACAGAGTGAGACTCTGTCTCAAACACGAAAAAAAAACAAAAACAAAAACAAAATCAATTAAGTAATTTAATTTTTTTAAAATTTTTTTTTTTTGAGACTGAGTCTCACTCTTGTCACCCAGGCTGGAATGCAGTGGTGCGATCTCAGCTCACTGCAACCTCCACCGTCGGGCTTCAAGCAATTCTCATTCACCATGCCTGGCTAATTTTTTGTAGTTTTAGTAGCGACAGTGTTTCACTACGTTGCCCAGGCTGGTCTTGAACTCCTGACCTCAAGTGATCTGACTGCCTCAGTGTCCCAAAGTGCTGGGATTACAGGCGTGCGCCACCATGCCCAGCCAACAAAAAAAATTAAAATCCAAATGTTGCTGAGGATGTAGAGCAAATGGAACTCTAATGAGAACGTAAAATGGAAAGCCACTTTGGAAAATGGTCTGGCAATTTCTCATAAAACTAAACATACCTATCCCGTGATCCAGTGATTTATCTCCTATATAGCTGACCCAAGAGAAATGAAATATGCCTTTTCTAATTCATAAGTGGGGACAAATGAGAGACAGAAATGAAGCATTTCCACAAAGACTTGCACAAAATAGTTCAGACCAGCTTTATTCAACATTACCCAAAATTAAAAACAGCCCAGATGATCAACACAAAAAATAGATAATCTGTAGTATATTTACACAATGAAATTATAGTCAACAATAAAAGGGAACAAACTAATGACACATGCAACAGAAATGAATCTCAAAAATATTATGCTGAGTGAAAGAAGCCATACATACACACAAAGCACATCCTATATGATTCCATTTATGTGAGGTTCTAAAACTGGCAAATTTAACCTGTGATTAAGAAAAAAAATCAAAACAGTGGTTGCCTCTGAGGGGATGGTGTCGGGATTGACTTGGAAGGGGCATGAAACTTTCTGGGGTGAGGATTCTATATCCTGATAGGGATTTGGGTCACACAGGTATACACATGTCAAAATTCATTAAATGGTACACTTAAGATGTGTGTGATACACTGTGTGTAAAATCACCTATAAAAAGAAATCATAAACAAATATCGAGCTCTAGTTCATTATATGCGTGCTGAAGTGGTTAAAAGTGAAGTACAGGCTCATGCCTGTAATCCCAGCACTTTGGGAGGCAGAGGTGGGCGGATCACGAGGTCAGGAGTTCGAGACCAGCCTGGCCAAGATGGTGAAACCCCGTCTCTACTAAAAATACAAAAATTAGACAGACATGGTGGTGCGAGCCTGTAATCCCAGCTACTCTGGAGGCTGACGCAGGATAATTTCTTGAACCTGGGAGGCGGAGATTGCAGTGAGCCGAGATCATACCACTGCACTCCAGAGTGAGACTAAAAAAAAAAAAAAAACAAAAAAAAAACCATGACATATAGTCAGGTGCCACTGTGCCATTGTGCACGCTTGTAATCTCAGCTGGTCAGGAGGTTGAGCTGGGAGGATCACTAGACTGCAAGAGTTCAAGACCAACCCATGCAACACAGACCTCGTTTGAATTTAAAAAAAAAAAAAAAAAGTGAAGTATAATTTACTCTGAAATGCATTTGAAAACTAAGATGCATCCACAGACGGACAGGGAGATGGACAGCTGCATGATAAGGCAAATAAAGTCATCCCTCAGTATATGTGGAGATTGGTTCCAGGAGCCCATGGATACCAAAATCTGAGGATACTCAAGTCTCTTATACAAAAATGGTGTAGTATTTGCATATAATCTACACACATCCTCCTGTATACCTTATCTCTAGATTACTTATCACCTAATACAATGTAAATGCTATGTAAATAGTTGTTATATGTACTATTTTTTACTTATTTATTTGAGACAAGCTCTCACTCTGTCACCCAGGCTGGAGTGCAGTGGCAGTGGTATAATCACAGCTCACTGCAACCTTGAACTTGTGGGCTCAAGGGATCCTCCTGACTCTGTCTCCCGAGTAGCTGGGACTACAAGCACACACCACTGCACCCAGATAATTTTTAAACTTTTTGTAGAGATGGGGTCTCAGTATGTTGCCCAGGCTGATCTCAAACTCCTGTGCTCAAGCGATCCTCTTGCCTCAGCCTCCCACAGTGCTGGGATTACAGATGTTAGCCACTATGCCCAGCCAGTATTATTTTCTGCTGTTGCATTTTTTTTTTTCCAGAATATTTTCAAGGTTGACTGAATCTGTAGATGTGAAACCTGCACATATGAAAGGCCCACAGTTTATATTAAACCTATCGAAAATTTGGCCAGGCATGGTGGCTCATGCCTGTAATCCCAGCACTTTGGGAGGCCGAGGTGGGTGGATCATGAGGTCAGGAGATGGAGACCATCCTGGCCAACATGCTGAAACCCCATCTCCACTAAAAATACAAAAATTAGCTGGGCATGGTGGCGCGTGACTATAATCCCAGCTACTCGGGAGGCTGAGGCAGGAGATTCGCTTGAACCAGGGAGTCGGAGGTTGCAGTGAGCCAAGATGGCGCCACGGCACTCCAGCCTGGAGACAGAGCGAGATTCCATCTCAAAAAAAATAAAAAAACTATAGAAAGTAGGAGGTGAGGCTGGGCATGGTGGCTCATGCCCATAATCCCAGCACTTTCAGAGGCCGAGGCAGGCAGATCACCTGAGGTCAGGAGTTCAAGACGAGCCTGGCCAACCAACATGGTGAAACCCCTTCTCTACTAAAAACACAAAAATTAGCCGGGTATGGTGGCAGGGGCTTTTAATCCCAGCTACTCAGGAGGCTGGGGCAGGAGAACCACTTGAACCTGGGAGGTGGAGGTTGCAGTGAGCCGAGATCACACCATTGCACTCTAGCCTGGGGAACAAGGGTGAGACTTCATCTCAAAAAAAAAAAAAAAAGTTGGTGGTGAGTACACGAATGTTAGCTGTATAATTTTCAACTTCTCTATATATATTTTTAAATTTCATAATAAGATGTAACAGAGGAGAAGTTTAAAGAAAATAAATGCTAGAAGAGTAACATGCGTGGTGAGAAGTTTGGACACCAAGGCTTTGGAGAAGAAGAAACCTCGCAGAAGAAACTTGAAACTTTCCTATGTTTTGCATAGGAGGAAAAAAAAACCAACAACAACTTAAGAAACATCTTTTAATATGGTACAGTTGGGGATAAATTGCTTTTTTTAACAGCAAAAGACAAATAGGAGGCCGGGTGCAGTGGCTCATGACTGTAATCCCAGAACTTTGGGAAGCCGAGGCAGGTGGATCACCCAAGGTCAGGAGTTCAAGACCAGCCTGGCCAACCTGGTGAAACCCTGTCTCTACTAAAAATATAAAAATTAGCTGGGCATGGTGACGGGTGCCTGTAATCCCAGCTACTCGGGAGGCTGAGGCAGGAGAAACACTTGAACCCAGGAGGCGGAGTTTGCAGTGAGCTGAGATCACACCACTGCACTCCAGCCTGGGCAACAACAGCAAAACTCCATCTCAAAAGAAAATAAAAAAATAAAGACAAATAGGAGGAATATAAGAGGATTGATCTTCTTGCTTTGCATTCAAATTTGCGTTCAATAAGGAAAGTATCTGAATTTGCATTCAGATTTGGGTTCAGTAAGAAAAGTATTAATTGAGGAGGTGTTCAAGTTTACAATACACTATCAGCAGAATCGTTGAGCTCCCTGTCACTGAAAGTATACAGAGACTAAAAAGACCACCTCAGAGGAAGTGTAAACAAATTCTCGGCCGGGCACGGTGGCTCAAGCCTGTAATCCCAGCACTTTGGGAGGCCAAGACGGGTGGATCACGAGGTCAGGAGATCGAGGCCATCCTTGGCGAACACGGTGAGAGACCCCCACTCTCTACTTTAAGAAAATTACACAAAAGGTAGCCGGCGTGAGGTGGGCGGGCCGCCGTATAGTTCCCAGCGCTACTCGGGAGGCTGAGAGCGAGAGAATGGCGTGAATCGAGGCGGAGCTTGCCAGAGCCGAGATCACGCTGCACTCCAGACTAGTGATGAGAGGAGCGAGACTCCGTCTCAAATAGATATGATAAATAAATAAAATAAATCAAATCAAAAGAGTGCTTTTTGTGCTTTAAGCCAGGATGTTTCTTTACTTTGCCGTATGACACGGTGACCATTCTGTTCCTTCTTGAAAGACTTTTTTTTTTTGAAACAGGTGCGTTGCTCTGCACCCAGGTTGTGGTACAGAGTGTTGATGATCTCTGCAGGTCCACTACCAGCTTCTCACTTCCGGTTCATAAGTGATCCTCCCCTCAGCCTTCCAAGTAGCTGCGCGGACTTATGGGCGTGCACCCACACGACTGGATAATTTTTATTTTTTTTTTAATTTTTTTTATAGAAAGCAATGTGCTCACTATCCTTACCCAGGCTTGTCTGAATCCTGGGTTAGGCTCATGCGTCCTTCGCCCTCGGCCGCCGCCAAGTGCTGGGATGTATCAAGACATGAGGCCACTGTGCCTAGCAAAAGACTCTTTCTTTGGGTCTACAGACACTAGATTCTTTTCTAGGTTGCTGTGACTTTCCTAGATGCTCCTTTCAGTTTTCTCAACGCATCCTAAATTCATATCATTTGGTCTATTCCTTGGCTGCTTTCCTTTGAGACGGGGTCTCGCTCTGGTCGCCCCAGGCTGGAGTGCGAGCTGGCCGGGATCCTCAGGCTCACGAGCGCCAGCCTCCCGGGTTCACGCCCCCATTCGGCCTGCCCTCAGCCTCTGCCGAGTAGCTGCGGGCCTACAGGCCGCGCCACATCGCCCGGCGTAGTTTTCTGGTATTTTTTAGTAGAGACGGTTCACCGTTGTTAGCCAGGATGGTCTCGATCTCCTGACCTCGTGATCCACCCGTCTCGGCCTCCCAAAGTGCTGGGATTACAGGCTTGAGCCATCGCGCCCGGCCAGTGCTTTCCTTTCAATGCTTCCACTATCCTTGTCATAATATATCAAAATAAATGAAAGATCTTCACAAAGGAAATGGTATTCTAATCTTAAAATCAAGGTGAAAGGCACAATAAAGCAATAAAATAAAATGTAAGTTCTAAAGGATTGTATTTACATATAATTCTCTTTACACAAAGAACTGCATTAATTAGGTATATCTTGGATGTTTATAAAGCTCTCTGCCTCCTAGTCTTTTGCTATTAAAAAACAGCAATTTGGCCGGGCGCGGTGGCTCAAGCCTGTAATCCCAGCACTTTGGGAGGCCGAGACGGGCGGATCACGAGGTCAGGAGATCGAGACCGTCCTGGCTGACACGGTGAAACCCCGTCTCTACTAAAAAATATGAAAACTTAGCCGGGCGAGGTGGCGGGCGCCTGTAGTCCCAGCTACTCGGGAGGCTGAGGCAGGAGAATGGCGTGAACCCGGGAGGCGGAGCTTGCAGTGAGCTGAGATCCGGCCACTGCACTCCAGCCTGGGCGACAGAGCGAGACTCCGTCTCAAAAAAAAAAAAAAAAAAAAAACAGCAATTTATCCCCAACTGTACCATATTAAAAGATGTTTCTGAAGTTTGTTTTTTTTTTTTTCCTATGCAAAACATAGGAAAGTTTCAAGTTTCTATAAAGCTCTCTGCTTTATAAACATCCAAGATAGACGTTAACCTGGTCAAGAGCCAGTAACTTACCTTCTCAATGTCATGTATATTATTCCAGTACAGGGTCATGCATACATGCAACAAAAATCAATCGCTTATGAAATATATTTTCTATTTTTCTCTCTCCCCATAGGTAGAATTTCTTCAGGATGAAATATATGCTTTCTATGCTTGACACACTAGCCAATTACATAATTTTTTTTTTGAGTCAGGGTCTCCCTCTGCCACCAAGGCTGGAGTGCAGTGGCACCATCATAGTTTGCTGAATCCTTGACCTCCTGGGCTGAAGCAATCCTCCTGCCCCAGCCTCCTGAGTAGCTGGGACTACAGGTATGTGCCAATACATTTGGCTAATTTCTTAAATTTTTAGTAGAGACAAAGTTTCTCTATGTTGCCTATGCCGGTCTCAAACTCCTGAGCTCAAGCAATCTTCCTGCCCCAGCCTCCCAAAGTGCTAGGATTACAGGTGTAAGCTACCACGTCTAGCTCAATAATATAATTTTTTATACAAATAATTCAAGCCAAGTTATCATAATTGTTTTCCATACCTCCAGTCTTGTTCACTTTACCTAACAAATAAATACATGAAACTGGTATTAAATCAAAGTGATCTTTCTAAAATCCGAATCAGTTCCTACTGATTTACTCCTTAAAGCTCGTTTTTGTTTTTCATTTTTTTTTCAGGCGGAGACTCGCTCTGTCGCCCAGGCTGGAGTGTACTGGCGTGATCTCGGCTCACTGCAACCTCTCCTGCCTGGGTTCAAGCAATTTTTCAGCCTCAGCCTCCCGAGTATCTAGAATTACAGGCACCTACTACCATGCCTGGCTAATTCTTGTATTTTTAGTAGAGACAGGGTTTTGCCACGTTGTCCAGGCTGGTCTTGAACTCCTGACCTCAGGTGATCTGCCTGCCTCCACCTCCCAAAGTGCTGGGATTACAGGCATGAGACACCATGCCCGCCCTTAAACTTCGTTTTGAGAGCTTAATGATCCTCCATGATGTAAACACTACCTAATTTTATCTACCACTTCTCTATCTTTTCACTCATATACCACCACCAAAGTACTTACTATTTTCCAAACATACTTTTTTGATGTTTTACAATTCTGTGGTTTGCAGATGCTTTTCTATTTGCAATATTCCTCTCTGTCCCTACTCACCAAATTTCTATTCCTCCTTCAAAACTAAGATAAAAAACCATTTCATTCTGCAAATTCCTTCCTAAGTTCTCCTATCCTAGTCCATATCACACACTAGGAGATGACACCCTCTTTTAGATCATTATTATACCTTATGTAAAACCTGTTACAGCATTTATCACTTTGTATTGTAACTTTTTCTGTTTCTATCACCCTACTAGGCTGAACTCCTAAAGCACAGATGCCATGTCTTATTCATCTTGCACAATCCCTGCCAAACAGTAAAGACTCAATACATGACTGTGGGATATATGAATGAACAACTGATGGGCTTTCTGAATATATATCTAAATTAAAGAATCAGATAAATAAATGGGTAAAGGAAACTTAAATGTCTTAACATGGATAAGCTGCAAACTTCACCCCTAAAAATCTACAAAGTAAACAAAGGCAGCTGCAAAGCAGTCAAGAGCAGGACTTATAATAAACACAGACTCACTGGTGATTCTCACTGCCCGGTCAGTCCGGAAATCCTCTGTGTCTGGTTCATCAAGGTCTTCCAGGAAATTATATTCTGGATCATCATCATCATCTGCTTCATCTAGAGACAAAAGTGTTTCAGATGCTTATTCCCAACTTTGTTCTCAAACTTCTAAGAATCTGTTCCAATAAAGCACATTTCTTCTTTTTTTTTTTGAGACAGGGTCTCACTCTGTCGCCCAGGCTGGAGTGCAGCTCACTGCAACCTCCCCCTCCCAGGTGCAAGTGATCCTCCCACCTCAGCCTCCTGAGTAGCTGGGACCGCAGGCAAACGCCACCATGCCCAGCTAATTTTGTGTAGTATATTCCATGAAAATAATACTTTCTGTAAAAGCTACTTGTACAATGAAGCTGACAGTGAAAAAAGGAATGGCCCAAATTCCCAACAATTAGAGAATGACTATATAATTATAATTTCTTAGTATAAAATAGTACAGGTTGAGCATTCCAAATCCAAAACTCCAAAATCTGAAACTTTGTGTGTGCAAATATGACTCTCAAGGGAAATAGCCACTGGAGCATTTCAGATTTCAAATTTTCTTTTTCCTTTTTTTTGAGACAGGGTCTCACTCCGTCACCCAGGCCAGAGTGCAGTGGCATGATCATGGCTCACTGCAGCCTTGACAGCCCAGGCTCAGGCGATCGTCACACCTCAGCCTCCCAAGTAGCTGGGATTACAGGCACATGCCACCATGCCCAACAAATTTTTGTCATTTTCAGTAGAGACAGGATTTTGCTATGTTGACCAGGCTGGTCTTGAACTCCTGGGTTCAAGCGATTTGAATGCCTCGGCCTCCCAAAATGCTGAGATTACAGCATGAGCCACTGTATCCCGCCCAGATTTCAAATTTTCAAATTTGGTATGCTTATCTGTTAAGTATAATATATTCTAATATCTGAAAAAATCTGAAAGTCAAAACATTTCTGGTCCTGAGCATTTTGGATGATGGTGATACTCAACATGTATACATATAAAATGTGAATATGTAACCATTCTATAAATGTTCAATACATGTATGACAAAAGTAAAATACATACATAATAATCATAAGCATGAAAAATTATATCCTTACAATAAGAATCATAACTAAAAATACACAAAAATAATAAACATTTGTTAGAATAATAGAAACATGAGTGTTTTTCTCCCTTTTAATAGTCTTTTTTCTTTTCTTTTTTTTTTTTTGACATGGAGTCTCGCTCTGTCACCCAGGCTGGAGTGCAGTGGCACGATCTTGGCTCGCTGCAAACTCTGCCTCCCAGGTTCAAGCAATTCTCCTGCCTCAGCCTACCAAGTAGCTGGGATTACAGACGCCCGCCACCATGTCCATCTGAAGAAAGAAAAAAAAAAAAGTAGCAATGAGGTCTCACTGTGTTTCCCAGGCTGGTCTCAACTTCCTGGCCTCAAGCAATCCTCGTACCTTGGCTTCCCGTAGTACTGGGATTACAGGCACGAGTCACCACACCTGGACTATCTTTTCTAAATGTTTGAGAAAAGTTCTAAATTTAAATTTAGAACTAAAATTTAATTATTCTTATCCCCACATTAATGTGGAAAACTAAAAAGTAACTATACATTGAAACTCTCACAGATGCATATCAAACTATTATCAGTGGTCCCTCTGGGAAATGAAACTTGAACCTTGGTGTCAAACGCCTTGGAAAGGACTGGTAGGAAAATGAAGTGTCAATAAATAAACTCTAAGAGACAAACCCCAAAAAAATCATATTAAAAATTTCACGTATGTAGATACATACATTTTTCTTGGGGGGAAGGCTTCAATTGTTTTATTTTTGTAATATTTGATTTCTTTATACCAAATATATTATTCTTACAGTTTTAACAGTGAAAAAAGAGAAAACTCTGGAAAGAATACATCCTACAGAACCCAGCATATAGAGTATATCATGTCACTTCTATTCAGACGCCTCCTCTCCTCCCTGTCACTGTTTTCAAAAATCTTTCCAAGGCCCATTCCAATTACCAGCTCTTTCATGTAGCTGTCTCTGATCATCCTAAACAAAAGTTACCCTGTCCTCTTCTAAAACCTTACAACAGCATTTACACCACTTTGATGGTATATCTGAGTTTATTCAACAGCTTCATTCATTTACAATGTATTGGCTGAGCGCAGTGGCTCACTCCTGTAATTTCAGCACTTTGGGAGGCGGAGGTAGGAGGATCGCTTGAGCACAGGAGTTTGAGATCAGCCTGGGCAACATGGCAAAACCCCAACTCTACAAAAAATACAAAAATTGGCCGGGCATGATGGCACAAGCCTGTATTCCTAACTATTCAGGAGGCTGAGGTGGGAGAATTGCTTGCGCCGAGGAGGTCAAGGCTGCAATGAGCTGAGATCTCACCACTGCACACCAGCCTGTGTGACAGAGTAAGACCCAGTCTCACACACACACACACAAACAAATACAATGTATTGTGAACCTAACAATGGGCCAGGCACCCTGTCATTCATACAGCTTTTATTCCATGACCAAATGATTATGCTCCTTTATCCCTCACAGATTCTAGCACAATGCCTTGTATAAAGAAAGTACTCAAACATTTGCCAAATGATATACAATGTAATTATTAATAGTATCATAAGGTACATTCAAGGACTTGTTATTTTCTTTCATTCACTTATCCTGACTTACTCCTAGCATTACCTACCCAACCATTTACTCAGTCTATTTTTTTTTTTTTGAGATAGAGTCTTGCTCTGTTGCTAGGCTGGAGTGCGGTGGTGTTATCTCAGCTCACTTCAACCTCTGCCTACCAGGTTCAAGTGATGCTCCTGCCTCAGCCGACTGAGTAGCTGGGACTACAGGCATGCGCCACCACACCCAGCTAATTTCTGTATTTTTATTAGAGACGGGGTTTCACCATGTTGGCCAGGATGGTCTCAATCTCTTGACCTTGTGATCCGCCCACCTCGGCCTCCCAAAGTGCTGGGATTATAGGTGTGAGCCACCACACCTGGCCTACTTAGTCTGTTTCCATCCAAACTTTTACCTGATCACTATTCCTTCCCCATTTCTGATAATACCACTACTTCTTTAGGGTTACCACATACTTCAACCACACTGTTCTATGAGGTGCTATCAATCACCAGACTCCATGCTGAACAGTCTCCCTATTAATCCCATGCAACACCAAGAGACTGGGCATGAGATCAAACCAAGCCAATCTGACTTGTTCCCCTGGATTTTATAAGTGAAGCTTGTAGGGGAGAGTCCTGAAGTGTAGACAAAGCAAAAAGTAATCATGGAGTGCTTATGAACAGAGTTCTAACCTTGTAGAAAAATAAATGTGAGAAGGGAGCTGAGTGACAAAAGGAAGTAAAATAGAGAGGAAAGGGGGATCCTAACAGTCCCTCAGTTCCACTGCTGATTTACTACACTTCCAAAGTCTGGTTTCATTTCACCCCGCAAGATAGAGTTAGGATTCTTTCACTTCATCATGAAGACCCTTAACTAACATGATGTTCTTTTGGTAAATCATTGAACCCTAATGAAATCATATATAAAATTTTGAATGGGCCAGGCACAGTGGCTCATGCCTGTAATCCTAGCTCCTTGGGAGGCCGAGGTGGGAGGATCTCTTGAGGCAAGAGTTTAAGACCAGCGTGAGCAACATTTCTCTACAGAAATTTTTTTTTTTTTTTTTGAGACGGAGCCTTGCTCGTCGCCCTGGATGGAGTGCAGTGGCACGATCTTGGCTCACTGCAAGCTCCACCTCCTGGGTTCATGCCATTCTCCTGCCTCAACCTCCAGAGTAGCTGGGACTATAGGTGCCCGCCACCACGCCCGGCTAATTTTTTTTGTATTTTTAGTAGAGACAGGGTTTCACCATGTTAGCCAGGATGGTCTTGATCTCCTGACCTCGTGATCTGCCCGCCTCAGCCTCCCAAAGTGCTGGGATTACAGGCGTGAGCCAACGTGCCCGGCCCAGAAATTTTTCTAAAAATTAGCCAGGCAAGGTGCTGCATGTCTGTAATCTCAGCTACTTGGGAGGCTGAGACCTGAGGAGTATCTCTTGAGGCCAGGAGTTTAAGGCTACAGTGAGCTATGGTCACACCACTGTGAACCACCCTGGGCAACACCCTGTTTTAGGACAGTGTCTCAAAAACAAAAGACAACAACAAAACTATGTATGCATGTATGTTTCAAGGGATTCAAATCTCAGCATTCAACAATCTTAGGATTCAAGATTCCTTACCCAGAAAAAAAAAAAAAAAAAAAGAAAGAAAGAAATGTTAAGAACTGGCCCAGGCATGGCGGCTCATGCCTATAATTCTGGCATTCAGGAGGCCAAGATAGGAGGATTGCTTGAGGTCAGGAGTTTGGGAACAGCCTGGGCAACATAGTGAGACCTCGTTTCTACAAAAAAAAAAAAATTAGTCAGGCACAGTGGCATGTGCCTGTAGTTCCAGCTACTCAGTGGGGTAAAGCAGAGGATTGCTTGAGTCCAGGAGGTCAACGCTGCAATGAACCGTGACTGCAACACTGCACTCAGCCTGGGTGACAGAGTGAGACCCTATCTCATGAAAAAAAAAAAAAAAAAGAAAGAAAGAAAAAGAAAAATTAACTACTGATTTAAGATAAATTATCAGTTAAATATAAATTAAGTCAATTAACCCAAACCATTCCATTCTATACCCTTCCAAATAATAAAAATTTTACAACAGATAATGGACACTATATATAATAAATCACAAACCAAAACTTACCTTCATTCCCCACATCATCATTCATAAGTCCCCCTAGCCACATCTTCCAGTCCTCATCATCTGCTGTATTGGGGTCATACATATCTGGAGTGATGTCTGGAGCTTGGAGCTCTGCCTCTAGTTGGCCCAGGGGAACATCTTTCAGGGGCATCTTAGAACGCGTTCGAAATGCAATGAGACTGTCATCCATGGACTGGACGATGAAGAAAGAAAAACAAGTCACTGAGTGAGTGATGTTTCCAAACCTCATCATCACTCCTTTTCTTCTCATCTTAGCTTAAGTAACAGGATCTTTCCTCTAAACAATTTGGATTTTATTATTGCTTGAGAAACTTTAAGAAACACGACATAAAAAAGAAATAAAATAAAATAAATGACATCAGTTTGAAACCAACATTTTATGAAAATTTGTAACAGCTTTATTGAGATATAATTCACATACCATAAATTTCACCCTTTTAAAGTACATAACTGAATGGATTTTCATATATTCACAGAGTTATACAACCATCACCCTTATCTAATTTCAGAACATTTCATTACGCCCAAAAGAAACCCCATCCATTAGTAATCGCTTCCCTTTCCCCCTCCTCCTAGCCCCGTTAAGCATTAATCCATTTTCTGTCTCTATGGATTTGTTTATGCTGGACGTTTCACTTAGATGGAATCATACAATGTGTGGCCTGTCTCTGGCCGCTTTCAGTTAGCATAATGCATTCAAATCCCACCCTGTTGTAGTATCTATCAATACTTTTTTTTTTTTTGAGACAGAGTCTTGCTTTGTTGCCCGGGCTAGAATGTAATGGTGTCATCTCGGCTCACTGCAACCTCTGCCTCTTGGGTTCAAGCGATTCTCCTGCCTCAGCCTCCCAAGTAGTTGGGAATTACAGGCGCCGGCCACCACATCCGACTAATTTTTGAATTTTTAGTAGAGATGGGGTGTCACCATGTTGAGCAAGCTGGTCTCGAACTCCTGACCTCAGGTGATCTGCCCGCCTCAGCCTCCCAAAGTGTTCGGATTACAGTTGTGAGCCACCGTGCCTGGACATTTTTTTTTTTTCCTTAAGAGATAGGGTCTCGATCTGTTATCCAAGCTAGAGCACTGGCACAATCAGAGCTGACTGCAGCTTCAAACTCCTGGGCTCAAGCAATTCTCCTGCCTCAGTCTCCCAAGTAGCTGGGACTACAGGCATGCACTACCATGCTCGGCTAATTTTTTTTTTTTTTAGATGGAGTCGTGCTCTGTTGCCCCTTCTGGAGTACAGTGGTACGATCTCGGATCACTGCAACCTCCATCTCCCAGGTTCGGGCGATTCTCCTGCCTCGGCCTCCCGAATAGCTGGGACTACAGGCATGTGCCACCACACCTGGCTAACTTTTGTACTTTTAGTAGAAATGGGGTTTCACCATGTTGGCCAGGCTTGTCTTGAACTCCTGGCCCCAGGTGATCTACCTGCTCAGCCTCCCAAAGTGTTGGGATTACAGGTGTGAGCCACTGGATCCATGTTCAGCTAATTTTTTTCATTTTTTGTACAGATGGGGGAGAAAGTGAGAGACCTCCATCTTTGTACTTTTTCAAGACTGTTTTGGCTATTCTGGGCCTGTGCAATTCCACATGAATTTTAGGATTAGGTTGTTAATTTCTACAAAAATTGTAGCTGGGATTTGGATAGGGACTGCACTGAATCTGTAGATCAATTTGGGAAGCTCCCCCTAGACTACACTGCATCAACCTCCTAATGGGTTTCTATTTACCCTCTTGCTTTACTCTAGCCCATTTCCCACACGTTAACCAAAAGGAATTTTTAACATTAATCTGAAAATATCACAAAAATCTTTTCTAATTTTTTTTTTTTTTTTTTTAATGGAGTCTCACTCTTTCCTAGGCTGGAGTGCAGTGGCGTGATCTCAGCTCACTGCAACCTCCACTTGCCAGGTTCAAGCAATTCTCCTGCCTCAGCCTCCTAAGTAACTGGGATTACAGGTGTGCGCCACCACACCCAGTAATTTTTTTGTATTTTTTGTTAGAGACGGGGTTTACCATGTTGGCCAGGCTGGTCTCGAAATCCTGACCTCAGGTGATCCACCCACCTCGGCCTCCCAAAGTGCTGGGATTACAAGCATGAGCCACCACGCTGGGCATCTATTCTAATGTTTAAAATACAATCTATACTCCTTATCATGGTTTCCTAAGACCTTCATGATCTAGCTCTTTCCTTGCTCTCTGACCTCATTTCTACCTCTCTTTTTCACAATCCCACCCTTCATGTAGTTTCTATTCCTTAACCATGCCAAGGTTGTCTCTATCTTAGCGACTTAGAATGTGCTGTTTCTTCCATATGGAGCACTTTTCCTCCCGAGATCTTTCACTTGCCTGGCTTCCTCTCATTCGGATCTCAGCTTAAATGCCATCTCCTCAAAGAGGCCTTTTTGTTTTGTTTTCTTTTTTTGACAGTCTTGCTTTGTCATCCAGGCTAGAGTGCCATAGCGTGATCACAGCTCACTACAGCCTCGACCTCCTAGGCTCAGCATCCCAAGTAGCTGAGGCTAAAGGTGCGTGCCGGTATGCCCAGCCAAGTTTTGTATTTTTTGTAGGGACAAGGTCTCACTATGTTACCCAGGCCTGTCTTGACTTCCTGGGTTCATGTGATCCGCTCTCCTTGGCCTCCTAAAGTGTTGGGATTACGGACATGAGCCACCAAACCCAACCCTGTTTTTTTAATTTTTTTAAAGTAAGTTCTCATACTATTGCCCATGCTGGAGCTTGTCATGGCTCACTGTAGTCTCAAACTCTCAGGCTTAATCAATCCTCCCGCCTCAGCCACCAAGCAGCTAAGAATACAGGCATGCGCCACCACACCTAGATAATTTTTCTGAATTTTTGGAGAGTCGGAGTCTCACTATATGGCCCAGCCTGGTCTCAAACTCCTAGCCTCAAGCAATCTTGTAGTCTAGGCCTCCCAAAGTGATGGAATTACAGCCAAGGAGGTCTTTTTTGATCAGCTTATCTAAAGTTCTCTGATAGGAAGTTTCATATTTCCTCATTTTAATTTAGTTCATAGCACTTAACCACTATCTGAATTTACTTGTTTATATGCTAATAGTCTATCTCTCCTCAATAGACTGTAAGTTCCATGAAGAACAACTTTTTCTGTCTTCTGCACTGTGGTTTCTCAACTTCAACCATTCAGTATGTGTTTGCTAAATAAATGGTTAGATAAAAAACTATTACTGTCCCTACTACGATTTATTCACTCAAAAGCATGATGATTAAATGACTGACTATTCCACTCAATATTCCATTTTTAATTATATACATTACATATATATATAATTATAAATATATATGTATATAATTGAAATGGAGTCTTGCTCTGTCACTCAGGCTGGAGTGCAGTGGCGCCATCTCAGCTCACTGCAACGTTCGCTTCCCGGGTTCAAGCAATTTTTGTGCCTCAGCCTCCCGAGTAGCTGGGATTACAGGTGCTTGCCACCACGCCCAGCTAATATTTGTATTTGTGGAGACGGGGTTTCACCATGTTGACCAGGCTGGTCTCAAACTCCTGACCTCAGGTGATCCATCTGCCTCAGCCTCCCAAAGTGCTGGGATTACAGGTGTGAGCCACTGCGCCCAGCCTTAATTATATTTTTTATTTTTAGGATTTATTTTTAAATTATTATATTATACTTTAAAATTTTAGGACAGACATATTTTTCATTGACCTGCAAGAATGATAGGGGAAACTTGGAACATTAAAATTTACTGGCTGAGGCCGGGCGCGGTGGCTCACGCCTGTAATCCCAGCACTTTGGGAGGTCGAGGCAGGTGGATCACAAGGTCAGGAGATTGAGACCATCCTGGCTAACACGGTGAAACACTGTCTCTACTAAAAAATACAAAAAATTAGCTGGGTGTGGTGGCGGGCACCTGTAGTCCCAGCTACCTGGGAGGCTGAGGCAGGAAAACCACGTGAACCTGGGAAGTGGAGATTGCAGTGAGCCGAGATTGCGCCACTGCACTCCAGTCTGGGCAACAGAGCAAGACTCTATCTCAAAAAAAAAAAAAAGAAAGAATAATCAATGGATGCTAATATTAGTGTGAGAAAAATAATTTGATTAATTGGGCTGGGCACATCAGCTCACGTCTGTAATTCCAGCATTGTGGGAGGCTAAGGTGGGCAGATCACTTGAGGTCAGGAGTTTAAGACCAGCCTGGCCAACGTGGTGAAACCCCATCTCTACTAAAAATACAAAAAATTAGCTGGGTGTGGTGTCAGGCATCTGTAATCCCAGCTACCGGAGGCTGAGGCAGGAGAATCACTTGAACCTGGGAAGTGGAGGTTGCAGTGACCCAAGATGGCGCCACTGCACTCCAGCCTGGGCAACAGAGCAAGACTATGTCTCAAAAAAAAAAAAAAAAAAAAAGGAGGCCAGGCACAGTGGCTCACGCATGTAATCTCAGCACTGTGGAAGGCCGATGCAGGTGGATCACGAGGTCAGGAGATCAAGATCATCCTGGCTAACACAGTGAAATCCCGTTTCTACTAAAAATATAAAAAATCAGCCAGGCGTGGTGGCATGCGCCTATAATCTCAGCTACTCAAGGGGCTAACGCAGGAGAATCACTTGAACCCAGGAAGCTGAGGTACAGTGAGCCAAAATCACGCCACCGCACTCCAGCCTGGGCAAGAGAGTGAGACTCCATCTAGGAAAAAAAAAGACAAGAAAGAAAGGAATTCGGCTTTGAAGTATATCCCCATATGATATATACTAATTAAAAATGGAAAATAAGAACTTTACAGTAGGAAAACCAAGCACGTACAACCTTAACCAAGTGATGAAAGTTAACATGACAGACATCACGTGCCTTCTGATATGATGCACTGAGAAATACACCTCACTCTTCCAGTATTTGTAACAAAAGTGCAAAACCTGAATCTAATTAAGATGAAATATTAGAAAAATAAAAATTGAAGAACATTCTACAAAATAAGTGGTGTATACTCCTCAAAACTATCAGGGTTATAAAAGACAAAGACTGAGAAACTGTTCCAGATTAAAGGAGACTAAAGAACAAGACAATTAAATAGATATTTAATCCAGGGTTGAATGCTGAATAGGGAAAAAATTTATTTTCCTCCCACATAAAGGGCATTATTGGGACAACAGATAAAACCAGAATAAGCACTTTAATATATTATGCTATATTACTGTATCCTGATTGATTGATTGATTGATTGATTGATTGATTTTGAGACAGAGTCTCTCTCCGTTGCCCAGGCTGGAGTGCAGAGGCACAATCTCAGCTCACTGCAACCTCTGCCTCCCGGGTTCAAGCAATTCTCCTGCCTCAGTTTTCTGAGTAGCTGGGATTATAGGCATGCGCCACGACACTTGGCAAATTTTTGTATTTTTAGTAGAGATGGGGGTTTCACCATGTTGGCCAGGCTGGTCTTGAACTCCTGACCTCAAGTGTTTCACCCACTTTGGCCTCTCAAAGTGCTAGGATTACAGGCATGAGCCACCGCACACAGCCTGTATCTTGACTTTGATTAACACACTATTATACCGTGTTAATACAAGAGAATAAACTCATTTTTAGATAATATACACAAAAGAGGCTGGGCACGGTGGCTTACGCCTGTAATCCCAGTACTTTGGGAGGCAGAGGCGGGTGGATCACGAGGTCAGGAGATCGAGACCATCCTGGCTAACACGGTGAAACCCCGTCTCTACTAAAAATACAAAAAATTAGCCACGCATGGTTGTGGGCGCCTGTGGTCCCAGCTACTCCGGAGGCTGAGTCAGGAGAATGACGTGAACCCGGGAGGCAGAGCTTGCAGTGAACCAAGATCAAGACTGCGCTCCAGCCTGGGCGACAGAGCGAGACTCCGTTTCAAAAAAAAAGAAGAAGAAAATATACACAAAAGCATGTAGAGGTAAAATGGCATCATGCCTGAACCACACTCTAAAATGATTCAGAAAACAGTATGTATATACAGAGAGAAAGGGGAAGAGAACCATCAAGCAATTGTGGTAAAAGGTTAATTTGGGGGAATTTGGGTGAAGCTTTTTCCTGTGTTCTACATTTTAAAATGCTCTCTGCTACATAGTTCATTTCTTCCTTAGAAACTGCCATTCTCAGTCAGGCACGATGGTTCACACCAGTAATCCCAGCACTTTGAGAGGCTAAGGTGGGAGGATCACTTGAGCCCAGGAGTTCGATACCAGCCTGGGGAAAAATATAGGGAGACCTCATCTCTACAAAAAACTAAAAAATTAGCCAGGTGTGGTGGCATACACCTGTCCCACCTACTCGGGAGGCTGAGGTGGGAAGATCACTTGAGTCTGGGAGGCGGAGGTTGCAGTGGGCCAAGATCACACCACTGCACTCAAGCCTGGGTGACAGGGTGATACCTTGTCTCAAAAAAAAAAAAAAACCCAAACTGCCATTGTCACTTAGCAGAAAATAGCACTAGCCAAATATAAAGTATCAAATACTAACTCTTACTTATATAAAGTTGTAGTTATCTTTTCCTCTCCCTTCCCAGCCTGAGCAACAACTAGATTACTCTATTTGACTTTCTCAGTGAAGTACAATTTTAATATTTACCTGGAAAGAATCCATGCAGACTGGACTGGAAGCCAGCTCCTCATCTACTGCATGTAACTTCTCCATGAAAGTACTATCTCTGGTCTGTTTCGGCTTTGGAGGGGGCGGGGGCCCCATGGGCACTACCTCAGCACTGATGTGCCTGATGGCTGGTGTGGTGACTTTCTCAACCTGATTAAAAGAGGTGACTGCATCAAAAAAGGAAGGAGGGAAGAAAAGAAAAAAAAAGGAAAAGAAAGGAAGGAAAGAAAGGAAAGAAAAGAGAAAGAAGAGAAGAGAAAGAAAAGAATGAAGAGAAAGAAAGAGAAAGCAAGAAAAGGAAAAAAAAGAGGGAAAAAGAGGTAGACTTTCCATACACCACTGTCCTTTCTCTTCTCTAGTTAGAGGTACATAAAAACAAAGACTCCAAGTGTATTGATCTAATTAGTTTTCATCCTATTTCTAGAGAAGTCAACAGAATGCTACTTAAAAACTGTTATTAATTGAAATTAATAACAATGGCTTTAGGACAACATTAGAAAGCACAGATATGAAAGAAGAGAAGGGTAGGAGAAAAGAAACTCCACTAGTTGCACATTTTTGGTCCCTTAATGAGAACTCAGAAAAGTTCTTTAGTTACTACTGAGCTCTCGCCTTCTCTGAACTGTTTACTAACTTAACAAACTTTGAAAAATGGTGACAGTCCAGAATCACCATGGATAATCTACTTACACAGTTATGTCTAACTTATCTCTTTTGTATGATGCCGATTTACCTCCGATAATATGCCACTCTCCTCATCTGTTTCAGTCATCTCAGAAGACTGCCTCAATCTGGATTTCTTTGCCCCACGTGGAGATGAAGCAGTGCTTTCAACATCACTTTCCAATAAGCTCTACAAAATAAACCCAGTTCACCTTAATATTTATGCCCCTACCTCATTCCACAAAGTCTGAAGTATCTCAAGAGAAGGAATCATAAAATATCAATCACTCAGCCTGGCCAACATGGTGAAAACCCGTCTCTATTAAAAATACAAAAATAAGCCAGGCGTGGTGGTGCGCACCTGTAATCCCAGCTACTTGGGAGGCTGAGGCAGGAGAATCACTTAAATCCAGGAGACGGAGGTTGCAGTGAGCCAAGATTGCGCCACTGCACTCCAGCCTGGGTGGCAGAGTGAGACTCTGTCTCAAAAAAAAAAAAAAAAAAAAAAAAAATTCCATCATTCAACTAGTTACAGTAACAGAAAATAAAATTTAAATAGAAACTTAAAGGCCAGGTGCAGTGTCTTATGCCTGTTATCCTAGCACTTTGGAAGGTCGAGGCGGGTGGATCACTTGAGGTCAGAAGTTCAAGACCAGCCTGGCCAACATGGCAAAACCCTGTCTCTACTAAAAATACAAAAATTAGCCAGGCATGGTAGCGCACGCCTGTAATCCCAGCTACTCAGGAGGCTGAGGCAGAAGAATCGCTTGAACCTGGGAGGTGGAGATTGCAGTGAGTCAACATCGCACACTGCACTCCATAGGCAACAGAGGAGATTAAAAAAAAAAAAAAAAAAAATCCTAAAGGTGGGGACAGGGATCAGATCACTATCCTAATCTGTATTACAAAGTGTAAGGCCTTGGTCTAAAATCCTTTTACAAAACAATTTAAAGAATACATTAAGAAACAAGTCAAAGGACATATTAACACAGCAATGAAAGTGAACAAAGTATAGCTAAAACTAGTAGTATAAATGAATCTCAAAAGCATAATGTTGAATTTTAAAAAGCTAGGAACAAAACATATAAACATGGGTCCATTTATATAAAGTTCAAAACAGTAACAATTGAACTATAGTGTGTGGAGATACATATTGAGGTGATATAACTATAAAGAAAAGCAAAGAAATAATTACTAAAAGGCAGGGTTGTAGTTATTTTTAGGGGAAGGGAGGTGATTATGACTGGGGAGGGTATACGGGGGTTTCCTAGTAATGTTATAGTTCTTGACTTTGCTATGAGTTTCATGAGGATTTGCATTACAATAACCAAAGCTATACATTTTTATTCTATGCATGTTTCTATGCTATATTTCATAATACAATAGATTATAAAATTAAGGGAGTATAAAAGGCAGAAAAACAGCTTAAAGCACAGAAATGAGCTGAAAAAATAACCATGTCTCAATCCTCTCTACAAGTGACATTACTAAAGAAGCAAAGTATACCCTGCTTTATTAAGACAAACATTACCAACTAACATTCACTGACCTCTTCAGCAGTTTCATCTTCTTCTTCATCATCCGGCTGGTATTCTTCATCTGAGGAATCATCTTCTTCAAGGTGGATATCCACAAACTGAGGAGGCTACATTAGTACAATTAGAAAGAAATGAACTAATGGGAAACACAAATCATATGTATTTGGAAAATAAGGGGAAGAAGCAGGGCAGGAAAAAAAAAAAAATCCTAAGAGCATAATGTACAGCTAAAGCAAATAACACGAGGCAGAGGTTAAAGTGAATTCCATGAGATGCAAACCTAAGAGTAATAGAATGGAAAAAAACAAAGCTGGAATTAAAACAAAGATTGATCAAGAAAAGTTAAAGAGGAAGTACTTAAGTTTCAAAACCGATGAAGTCTTTCTGGAAAAGAATAACAATTATTTCTTCCAAGTTTACCTTAATTTCATTGGCCTTCTTAATTGGTGAAATATTCCATGTTGGAATTACCTACCAACAAAGAATATAAATAAGTTATCTTAACTGAAATAACTGTTTTTCATGTTTACTTCCTCTGTACCATCACTAACAGCCATATACTTAACAAGTACCTGCAGTGATCTAGAGGTGTTGTTATCCCTGAGGGTATACTCTCAATTATTTGTCAGAGTTAGAAAGAAGGAAACGAGGAAAGAATCTATTACAGTCATGAGCATTTCTGCCTTACACCTGGTAAGCCTCACTTCTTTCTATAAATGAAGAAAACAATGTCTACCTTGTTCATATCACAGCTGCGGTTCACATGGAACAACAGATGTGAAAACTATTTATAAACTATTAAACTACATAAATCTAAGATATTTTGGTTACAGTAGTCTTTTAACAGCAATATATTTTTGTAATCAGTTACATAAATCCACCGTACGTACAACTCCAAAAGCCAGCCATGAAAAGCTTTTATGGACTATTCTGCCTATGGAGTAGACCTCCTCTGCCTATGGAGCTGCTTTTTAACAAAAAAAAACAAAAAAAAACACTTTTACTAGGGGATTTAGGGCAAAGTTTCAAGTTGTCCACACTTATTTTTCCAATAGGACATGAAAAAACAACACAGAGATATAAAGCAAATATGGCAAAATATTACTCTTAGAACTTACATACATTGTAACAATCTTTCAACTTTTTGAATGTTTGAAAATTTTTATAAGAGCTAGAGGGAAAGTTTTTCTTGTTTTTGTTTTTGTTTTGAGACAGGATCTTGCCCTGTTGCCCAGGCTAGAGCAGTAGCACTATCAGAGCTCACTGCAGCCTCAAATTCCTGAGCTCAAGTGATCCTCCTGCCTCAGCCTCCTGATTAGGACTACAGGCATGCCTCCTCACCAGACCTCGCTAATTTTTAAAATTTTTTGTAGAGACAGAGTCTCATTAGATTTCCTAGGCTGGTCTCAAACTCCTGAGCTCAAACAATCCTCCCATCTCAGCCTCTCAAAGCACTGGGATTATAGGTGTGAGCCACCACACCTAGCCTAAAGAACTTTTTTAAAGTTCTTATATATTGCTGATAAAATGCCATTGAGGATGTATAATTTCTTGACCATTTAATTGTAACCCAACCAAAATCACCTTATGAACAAAAGCCAACTGGCCATTAGGTTCTGTCTCTAAAAGGAGTCTTAGCTTCTCAAATCAAATCAGCCCTGCTATGTTCTGACCATTTACCTAGTGCTGTGTAGATGGAACCAATATAGGGTAAAGGGAATGATGTGATTCAGGTCCATTTCCCTTTCCTACCTACTGCCAAATCCATTAGAAAGGCAAGCCAGCATTCAGAAGTGTGTTGGAGTCAGTCTAGTAAGAATTAAGAAGGCCAAGTATAGTGGCTCATGCCTGTAATCCCTGCACGTAGGGAGATCAAGACAGAAGGTTCACTTGAGCCCAGGAGTTTGAGATGAGCCTGGGCAACACAGCAAGACCCTATTTCTACAAAAAAAATGTTTCAAAAAAACCAATTAGCTGGGCATGGTGGCACATGCCTGTAGGCCTAGCTGTTTGCCAGGCTGAGGCAGGAGGATCCCTTGAGCACAGGAGTTCAAGGAAGCAGTGAGCTATGATTAGGCCACTGTACTCTAGCCTGAGCAACAGAGCAAGTCTCTAAAAAAAAAAAGAAAGAAAGAAGCAGCAAGAGACCTACATTTTAATACCTGCTCTCCTACATAAACTACACAGTCTTGGATGGCCCAACTTCTCTACATCTATATTTATGGCCAATAAACACAATCCAGAGCCTAATTTGGATCTCCTTGGATTTTTTTTCACCAAATCAAATAAAGAATTAATGTTAATTATATTCTTTTTTTTTTCCTGTAAGACAGAGTCTTGCTCTATCACCCAGGCTGGAGTGCAGCGGTATGATCTCCGCTCACTGCAACCTCTCCCTCCTGGGTTCAAGCGATCCTCTTGTCTCTGTAGCTGGGATTACAGGTGTCCACCACCACGCCCGGCTAATTGTTGTATTTTTAGTAGAAACGGGGTTTCACCATGTTGGCCAGGCTGGTCTCAAACTCCTGACCTCAGGTGATCCACCTGCCTCGTCCTCCCAGAGTGCTGGAATTACAGGCGTGAGCCACCGTGCCCAGCCATGTTAATTATATTCTATATGTCAAGTAGACTTCACAGAACTTCCTCATTGATAGCTGCTTTCATCATAGCTACCACCTATTCATTTGTGATCACATCCTGGAGAAAGATGAAATTTCAATTTATGCAATGAGGGTTAGTCAACCAGACCAAAAAAGTTACGTGATTGCCAAAAAAAAGGTCGATTTGACCTTAGATACATTAGGATAAATATATAATCTGGAACACTGTGGAGATAATCTAACTATACTAGTCAAACCACATCTGGTTCAGTAGTCTTCTTTTGGCATACCTTTTTTTTTTTTTTGAGACGGAGTCTCGTTCTATCGCCCAGGCTGGAGTGCAGTGGCGCGATCTTGGCTCACTGAAAGCTCTGCCTCCCAGGTTCATGCCATTCTCCTGCCTCAGCCTCCAGAGTAGCTGGGACTACAGGCGTCTGCCACCACGCCTGGCTAATTTTTTGTATTTTCAGTAGAGACGGGGTTTCACCGTGTTAGCCAAGATGGTCTCCATCTCCTGACCTCACGATCCGCCCACCTCGGCCTCCCAAAGTGCTGGGATTACAGGCGTGAGCCACCGTGCCCGGCTCTTTTGGCATACTTTTAAAAGGATATGGGATGGGCACAGTGGCTCATGCCTGTAATCTTAGCATGTTGGGAGGCCAAGGCGGGTGATCACATGGGCCAATTCAAAAGCAGCCTGGCCAACATGGTGAAACTCCACCTCTACTAAAAATACAAAAAATAGACGGGTGTGGTGATGCATGCATATAATCCCAGCTACTGAGCAGGCTGAGGTATGAGAATCACTTGAACCTGGGAGCCAGAGGTTGCGGTGAGCTGAGATTGCACCACTGCATTTCAGCCTGGGTGACAGAGTGAGATTCCATCTCAAAACAAAAAGGCCAGACACAGTGGCTCCGCCTGTAATCCCAGTACTTTGGGAGGCCGAGGCGGGTAGATCACTTGAGGTCAGGAGTTTGAAACCAGGCTGGCCAACATGGTGAAACCGCATCGCTACTAAAAAAAAAAAAAAAAAAAAAAAAAAAAAAAAAAAAAAAATTAGCCGTGCATGCTGGCATGCACCTGTAATCCTAGCTACTCAGGAGGCTGAGGTAGAAGAATCACTTAAACTTGGGAGGTGGAGGTTGCAGTGAGCCAGAATCGTGCCACTGCACTCCAGCCTGGATGATGAAGCAAGACTCCATCTCAAAAAAAAAAGTGGGGGGACAAATTGGGGGATGTATAGCCAAGAAAATGTTATGAAACGACATACTAGTTTTTTTCAACTGTAGGAAAAGTCATGTGGAAGAATACACCAATTTCTTTTCTTGCTTTTTTTTCTAGACAGGGTCTCATTATGTTGCCCAGGCTGCTCTTGAACTCCTGGCTTCAAGAGATCTTCCTACCTCCACCTACCAAAGTGCTGGGATTACAGGTATGAGCCACGACGCCCAGCCTAGATTTGTTTCTTCTATCAGGCTCCAAGGAATAAAACCAGGACAGATAAAACCTATGATACGTATTTTCAGTCTGTAAGGCAAATCTTCCTTACTATCAGAAATATAATGAACTCCCTCATGACTATTAACTGTCTTGTAAGCACGAACTGGTCAAGTGCTTATTAAGAAGGATATAGCATAGCTCCAAGCACCAAAGAGCTTGCTGTACCAGAATACTTCAGATGTCTTCAAGTGGTTCTCACACTTTAGTATTCAAAAGAATTAACTGTTGTGTTTTTCCCAATGCATATTCCAAGGCCCTGCCCATGGGTCCTGATTCTCTGGTCTGGGGTGGGCCCAAAAGTATGGGGATTATTTTGTTTTTGTTTTTTTGAGATAGTCTCGCTCCGTTGCCCAGGCTGTAGTGCAGTGGTGTAATCTCCACTCATTGCAACCTCCGCCTCCCGGGTTCAAGCGATTCTTGTGCCTCAGCCTCCCAAGCAGCTGGGATTACAGGCGCACACCTCCACGCCCAGCTAATTTTTGTATTTTTAGTAGAGACAGAGTTTCACTATGTTGGCCAGGCTGGTCTCGAACTCCTGACTTCAAGTGATTCACCTGCCTCGGCCTCCCAAAGTGCTGGGATTACAGGCATGAGCCACTACACCTGGCCAAAAGTATGCATTTTTAATAAGCATGCCTGAGGGATCCCACACCAAAGTGATTTTTATGGAACTGTCCCCTAGAACACACTATGAAAAATACTAAACACTTTGCAACAAGTGTTGTAACATAAATAGAAAAACTGGTCTCACCCATTGGTTTCAGCCATTCCAAATGGTTATCTTTCTAGCAATTCCAAAAAGCAATGCTTCATATCTACTAAAATAAACTATGATCATTATAGCTTATGATCATGTAGAAACAATTCTACTGTCTTTTACAAATATTTCTTTAAAGAGGAAAATTCAGACCACAATCTTTCCTATATTTTTCCCTATGGGTGAATTAGATCCTATTTACCAAGCTAAAAACAACCAACAAACAAAAAAACAGAATGCTTACCACTCCTTTTTCCACTACTTCCTTCAGTTTAGAGCGTGTCATTTTAGGCTCCTAAGGAGAAAAAAACAGAAAGGAAATATTCAATAAAAATCACAGCTCAGTGAGGTGGCTCATGCCTGTAATCCTAGCATTTTAGGGGCAAGGTGGGAGGATGGCTTGAGGTCAGGAGTTTGAGACCAGCCTGGGCAACATAGTGAGACACCCCCTACAAAAAAAATTGTTTTAAATTAGCTGGGCATAGTCGCATGCTCCTGTAGTCCCAGCTACTCAGGAGGCTGAACCGGGAGGATCTCTGAGTCCAGCTTAGGAGTTTGAGTCTAGCCTTGGTGACACAGCACGACCTTGTCTCTAAAAAATAATAATAATAAAATAACAAATAAAATAAATAAAAATTACCACGTAATTCTTGTGTTTTGGGATGCTAACTTTCACCCCAGCTGCCAAACTGTTTACAAACTCCTCAGTGACTTCCTACCCTTAGCCAGTTTACAGAAAACTCTGTTCCAAGACATTAAAAGAGTCAACTACTCACAAACATTGGCATATCTTCTGACTCACTGATGGCTGCTTTCATCATAGCTACCACGTGTTCATTTGTGATTACTTCCTGGAGAAAGATGAAATTACACTTTATGCAACAAGGGTTTGTCACCTAGACAATACTCTTCTCTCTATGTAACTCTGTTAGACGTGTGTACAGGACAAATAAGAACCATACACTCGAATAGCATCAGACTGGGATAAAGCAATGCAACTGAAAGCAAAGAAGGCAGAAGTAAGTTTTGGCCAGAACTACAGTTTCAAACAAGGTAGCAGCAAATGAACCAATCTCATTAGCTGCTACTAGGAACAGGAATGGCTCACATAAAAAGAGATCCTGAGGTTTAACTACATGCTTAAGAGACAGAGTAACAAAGAGCAAAGGCTCTGCAAATAGCTGTGTTGCTACGTATCAAGAAAAGTATTTACATATGTACGAAGAGCAATAAACTATTAACCGGGCACCTTTTTAGACATATCGACCCACAAAAGAGTAAACCCACTATGAACATTATCAACATTGAATCTGCTAAACAATACAGTAAATATGCAAATCAGTGGAAAACAGAAACAGTTTATCTTTCCAATTAAATTCTTCTTTAACGTGTTCATATTTCAAACTTGTACTGAGTACAAGGCGAAAGCTATCTTAAATATGTAAAAATGTAAAATGTTCTATCACAGGTAACCCATAAAATCGGTAATTAACATGCCAAGAGTCAAGAATTTGCTGAGTATTTTTATACGCTTTCCATGAAAAAGTTCCCTTCCATTAACATAGCTGCCCCAGTCTTACTCACATGAAGGATGTTTCGGACATTGACCGCTGTTAGATTGTGCTGCTTGGCACCATCCTCCAAGGTACGGTCAAGCATGTCGTCCAGTTTCAGGTCATATGCCAAGGTCCCTTCTTGACTCCTTCCATCTCGTTTCCTCTTGGTACCCTTTTTCTTTTTTCTCCTTTTCTCACTTTCTTCATTGTCTTGTTCTTCTGCAAATAAACCAAGAGCATCACCAGAATTCCAAAATAGCTGCTCCAGGAACTTAGCCCAGAAAGCTGACAGTAAAGTGGATAAATCTCAAAAGCATTATGCCAAGTGAAAGAAACCAGATGTAAAAGGACACATATTATATGACAGTATACCCAGTATAGAACATTTGCACAGAAGATGCAAAACTATGGAAATAGAAAAGAAATTAGTGGTTGCCAATGTTTGAGAACAGGGGATAGCAAAGGGGAATTAGGCAACTTTTGGGGTGACAGAAATGTTCCACATTGGTTGTGGCAGCACTCAACACAACTGTATATATTTTTCTTTCTTTTGTTTTTTTGAGATGGAGTTTCGCTCTTGTTGCCCAGGCTGGAGTGCAATGGTGCAATCTTGGCTCACCGCAACCTCTGTCTCCTGGGTTCAAGTGATTCTCCTGCCTCAGCCTCCTGAGTAGCTGGGATTACAGACGTGTGTCACCACGCCCAGCTAATTTTGTATTTTTAGTAGAGACCGGGTTTCTCCATGTTGCTCAGGCTGGTCTCGAACTCCCGACCTCAGATGATCCACCCGCCTCAGCCTGCCAAAGTGCTGAGATTACAGGCGTGAGCCACCACACTTGGCCCCACTGTACATATTTTTCAAAACTCATCAGATACATTTTATTTTATACCTCAATAAACCTAATGTAACTTACTACATTAACAAAACGAAAGAGGAAAAAAACATGATCTTAATAGAGATAGGAAAAAGCATTTGATGAAATTCAATATATGAAAAAACTCAGAAAACTTAGGAAAAGAAAATTATTTCCTTAACCTAAAAAATATTTCTATGGAAAGCCTGTAACTATCCTCATATATAATGAAGGAATACTGAACATTTTCCTGTTTTGTTCAGAAATAAGACACAGATGTCGACTATCACTACTACTTATAACCTACATAGTAATGAAGGTCTAGAATGTGCAATAAGAAAAATTACATGTTCATTTTAAAACCATTTGCCAAAGTGAGGCTGGACGCAGTGGCCCACTGCCTGTAATCCCAGCCCTTCGGGAGCCCAAGGCAGGTAGATCACCTGAGGTCAGAAGTTCAAGACCAGCCTGGCCAACATGGTGAAACCCTGTCTCTACTGAAAATACAAAATTAGCCGGGCACGGTGGTGTGCCCCTGTAATTCCAATTACTCAGGAGGCTAAGACAGGAGAATCACTTGAACCCGGGAGACGGAGGCTGCAGTGAGCCGAGATCACACCACTGCACTCAAGCCTAGGCGACGGAGCAAGATTCACACACACACACAAACCATTTGCTAAATCAAATAAAGAAGTCTTTAGTCATGTGTCTGTGTTATGTTTCACAATAAAAAACTCAGTATTTCAAGAATTTTAAGGATGCCTAACCTTACGAGCTAGCATTTCCATCCAACAAAAAAGAAGTACACATGTTCAGCAAAAAATCTATAGATTATTCACAGCAGCACCACTCAGAGTAGCTACAACTGAAAACTATCCAAATGCTCATCAAGAATTGAATGGGGCCACGTGCAGTGGTTTGCACCTGTGACCCAGCACTTTGGGAGGCCAAGGTGGACGGATCATTTGAGGTCAGGAGTTCAAGGACAGCCGGACCACAGGTGAAAACCTCTGCCTCTACTTAAAAAAAAAAAAAAAAAAAAATTAGCTGGCGCTGTGGGGCACGTGCCTTTAGTCCAGCTACTTGGGAAACTGAAGCAGGAGAAATCATGAAAACCCAGGGAGGGAGCGGTTGCGTTGAGCCAGATCTTGCACCATTGCACCTCCAGCCTGGGCGACGAAAGCACAAACTCCATATCAAAAAAAAAAAAAAAAAGGCAGGCACAGTGGCTCATGTCTGTATCATCCACACTTTGGGAACTAGGCGGGTGAATCATGATGAGGTTCAGACTTCGGAGACCGCCTGGAACCAACGCATGATGAACCCGTTTCTATCAAAAAATAAAAAATAGCAGGGGAGCGGTGGCAAACGCGCCTGTATCACCCAGCCTCGCGGTTGAGGCTGAGCATGGAAGAATGCGCTGAACTCAGAGGGGTTGCAAGAGTTGCAGTGAGCCGAGATTCATGCCAGCGTGCACTCCAGCCTTGGGGGTAACAATGGGCAGAGAAGCAAAAAGGAAAACAAACAAAAGTTTGAATGGATAAAGAAAACATAAAGCAGACAGGTGAGGAGCTAGCTTTAATCCGCCACAGTTTGGAGAATCAAGGAGGGATGCTCGGAGCTCAGAAAATACAGAATCAGACTGGGCAAGCATGAGTGAAACGGTTTCAAAAAAATAATAATATAAATAAAAATGGAAATTAGCCAGGCATTGTGGCTGTGCAGCCTAAAATCCAGTTACTGGGGAGGGTGTAAATGGGAGAGATCACTTATAGGAGTTAAGGTTGCAGTGAGCTTTGATGGATGGGCACTGAACTTCCAGCCTGGTGACAGGCAGTTGCCTATCTTCTAAAAAAAAATAAGGCCGGGCGGCGGTGGCTCCGAAGCCTTGTAAGTCCCAGCACTTTTGGGAGGCCGAGAACGGGCGGTCACGGGTCAGGATTGATCGAGGGACCATCCTGGCTACACGGTGAAACCCCGTCTCTACTAAAAAAATACAAAAAACTAGGCGGGCGGGGTGGCAGGTGCCTGTAGTCAGGCTGGCTCGAGAGCTGAGGCAGGAGAATGCGTTGACCCGGAGGCGGAGCTGCAATGAGCCGAGATTGTGCCACTGCAGCTCCAGCGCTGGGCCTGGCAGAGCGAGGACTCCGTTCAACAACCAAAAACAAAACAAAACAAAACAAAAAACAATATTGAGGCTGGGCATGGTGACTCACACCTGTAATCCCAGCACATCGGGAGGCCGAGGCTGGCAGATCACCTGAGCTCAGGAGTTCAAGACCAGCCTGGCCAACATAGTGAAACCCCGTCTCTACTAAAAATAAAAAAAATTAGCCCTGCATGGTGGCCGTGCCTGTAACCCCAGCTACCCAGGAGGCTGAGGCAGGAGAATCGCTGGAACCCGGGAGGTGGACACTGCAGTGAGCCAAGATAGCACTACTGCACTCCAGTCTGGGTGACAGACCAAGACTCTGTCTCAAAAACAACAACAACAAAAAAAACATTGAGAGAATAAATGCAGTCACAATGCCAGGCACGGTGGCTCACGCCTGTCATCCCAACACTTTGGGAGGCCGAGGCAAGAGGATCAATTGAGAACAGGAGTTTGAGACCAGCCTGGGCAATACAGTGGGGCTCCATCTCTACAAAAAAAATTGTTTTAATTAGCTGGCTGGGCCGGGTGCAGTGGCTCATGCCTGTAATCCCAGCACTTTGGAAAGCCAAGGCAGACAGATCACCTGAGGTCAGGAGTTCAAGACCAGCCTGGCCAACATGGTGAAACCCCGGGTTAAAAGGATCTTTGTCTCAGTCCCTGGAGTAGCTGGACTGGTAACGCAGGTGCTTGACTCATGGCCAGCAAAATTTTTTTCTTTTTTTTTTGAGAACAGAATCTGCTTTGTTGCCCACCTGCTGGAATGCAATGGCTTGATCTCAGCTCACTGCAAGCCTCTACCTCCTGGGTTCAAGGCAATTCTCCTGCTGCTTGCAGCATCGCCTAGCAGCCTGGGTCGATTAGCAGGGCGCTGTCATCAATGCCCAGCTAATTTTGGTTTTTTTGTAGAAGGGCCGG